GTTTAAACTCTGAGGTTTGCTCCAAAAAGGGGTGGTAGGGGAAAAGAAGCACTGTCAAAGGAATGAAGAGGCATGGCTAGGAGGAAAAACTAAGATGCTGAGTTATAGAACCCAAGTGAAGAAAGTGAAGCACAGAGGACAGTGAACATCTGTCAAATGCTGTTGCTTACTGCAAGTTAAATGTGTCCTGAGAGTTGGTCATGAGTGATGGTTTTGAACACTTTGGGTGAAGTCATGGGCAAAAGCCTAATGAAGAGTTTACAGACATTGGAATGAGAATTGGAGAAATGAAGCAGTAGCCTGCAGGAGATATGAGTTCAAGAGAAAGTAGTTTTATTTTAAGAGAGTAGGGAGAAAAAGCTTCTTTGGTTCTTACAGAGGATGATAGGTAAAGTAATAGTGTAAAAGATAGTTGGTGAAAGGTAGAAGAGGTATTTTAGTGCTTAAGCGGAGGGATAGGTTTTAAATTACAGGGAACACAATTAAATTTGTAGAAACACGCAGTGAAGACAAAATTTATGGATTTAGTTGTTCCCAGGCAGGTAGAGTAAATTTCAGTGGATTATCTCTTACGATGTTTCAGTAGTTTTCAGGGAGAGTAGCTGGTGTTGGGAGCTTTAAGGAAAAAGAGTGAAATAGAATCTTTTCAAGTATTTAGAAATTGACCATTAGCATTGTGGGCTTTTTTCCTTAATCCAGACTTAGTTGCATAGAAGCAGATGTAAAAAACTTGCCTTAACTAGGTTTGTGGTTCGCAAATCAAGTGTGATAAAATGAGAGAGGAGCATAGGAATTGGAAGAATATGCAAGGAAATAGTTAGAATGATCAACCTTGCAATTGAACTGGTTTTTGTGGTTGTATTTTTGTTGTTAATCCTCACCTGAGTATATTTTTCCCATTGATTTTTCAGAGAGTGGGAGGAAGAGAGGGAGGGAGGGGGAAAGAAGGAAACATTGATGTGAGAGAGACACGTCTATTATTATTTGCCTCCGGCTTGGCTCCCTGGCTGGAGCCTGGTGAGGGATACTGGGCCTGGTGGGGGATATGTGCCCTTGACTAGAAGTTGAACCTACAATTTAGATGCATGGGATTACACTCTAACCACGGAGCCACACTGGCGAGGGCTAGTCTTTTAAAGTGAAGTTGAAGCATAAAGGAATGACTTGCTTAAACATAGGGCACATGGGGTATTTTGGTGGGGGTAGGTGTTTGGGAAAGAACACTAAAAGCAAAAGGCAGTTAGGGCAATTACTAGAATTTGTTTTACATGGTAGGAAAAGAAGAATGGGTAAGGCAACTGACTGGATCTTTGTTTTGGGAAATTTGATTGTAGTAGTGATTTAGGGGCATTTGGTGAGAAACCTGGGGAGAAGGAAATCAAAATGACATTTGTTATGTTCCTGGGATATGTAGTGATTGATAAACTAACAATAATCTGATCTTCAGAGATTAGACAGTTTAAGTAAATGGAGAAGAAAGCCATATATATACTTGAGTAGGAACACTGAGAATTAGAAGATTTTTGTGTTTTCATGAGATTAAATTAGACAAAATGTAGTTCCTGTGCAAACCCAGTGTCATTCTTTTTTCTTGCAAAATTATGTTTTCTCTAGAAGCTGAGAGAAGTGAGATAACAGTGAGATGAAAATAAAACTATGAGTACGAAAGACATACGTCTTTCTCATTACCTCCCCTAAACACTTACATGGAGCTCACTGGGTAGATGCTAAATTTCAGTGTGTTTCTATTACATAGTTTAAAAACAGAAGTAACCAGGAAGGTCTTTTATAAACTGTAGGTAAATATGTGACATTGTGCAAGTTCTAAAATTATTAGATTTTCCATCCTCAGGAATTTAATTTTATGGTTACCTACAGACATTTCTAACAACATTTAGTGTGTAGACGTAGCACTTCAGATTTTTCAGTACTTGTTTAGAATCACTGCTTACAAATTTGCCAAGGGAGGCCAGCTTTATCATCATAGAGCATCAGACTCTTCCGAGATAAATTCTCTAAAGAAGTTACAGATTTGTTCATGGTTCTCCTATCTAGTTTGCTAAGATCTTCATCCTGTAATGCAAAGTCTGACATTCCAATGCCAGCTTTAGGAGAATACCCCAGTCAGTTGGATATGTCTTAAAAATATTCATCTTTGAAAAAAAGGCAAAATACACATCAGACCAGAATTAAGGATTTGATGCCTATTTGTGCTCAAAAACTATATTTATAAAACACAGTCAAAATACTTTAATTTAGGTAGTTATGGTGAAGGTTTAGGAAAGGTGCATGTATTTATGAATGTATGCATGTATTTATCATTGTAAAGAGTTTAAATTTATCATTGACTAAATTGTTAGAACCTTGATATCATTAAACATTTTTCTATCAGTTTGTTCTCACTTCAGAAGTTACAAACTCAATCTACTGTTCTCTTGCTATTTACCAAAGTCCTTGCCTTCTTTTGTTGTATATACAGTTGAAAGCACCAGTCAGGATTTCTTCCTACTTTTTGCATTGCAGGCTTGTGTCCAGTCTTCTCCTTTAGAACAGTACAGCTACATTCCTATTGATATATAACTTCTGTACTCAGGTTTCAAAAGAAATAGTGCTTTTCCTTTAAGGGAAGTTTCATCCTTTTTCCTAGTTTCATCTTTTCTTCTTTCTCTCTAGATCTTGATCCAACTGTTCACCATGTCTTCTAATTCTCTTTATTACTCATGTAAATCATGAACATGCATATTTTTATACATTGAACAATAACCTCCTTGCTCTGCAGTCCATTCTGATTATTGCTCCTTTCTTCTTTTAAAAAGTAAACTTCTTAAAGAAATGGATACCTTACATAGAATTTTTAACCCACTTTAGTCTGACCCCATATAGCATTCACTAAAAACACTTTTCATCAAGAACATCAGTGTTACTGCAAGCCAGTGCATGTGTTTCTCCTTGACTGTACATGGTTATGTTATTGTCGTTCATGTCTGTAAGAAAAATTTCAGGATCCTGTTTAAAAATAATTTTGTGCAAGTAATTTATTTGGCATGGGGTTGGTCTTGATTTCTGATAAGCAAGAAATTATATTAAATAAAATGTCATTGTTTTCACTTTTTAATGTCAGTTTTTGAAGTCCTAAATTCATTTTAATATTCTACATAAAAATATTCTATGTAATGTTCTATGTAATTATACATAAGAATGTTGATTTAGGCAAATGCAGTTTTTGACTTCTTGTGGAACATAATGAAGAATTTGCAGAATTATTTTAAAGATGTAAACATCTAATAAATTCCATGTTTATAATCAAGAATTTAAGAAAATTAAGTAGTGGTTAAAACTATTCCCACGGCTTAGCTGAGTTGTGCTTGAATCGTGAACATAGTCATCTGATTCCATTAGTAGTTACTTATACCACTTGTTGCCTACAGCAACTTAAATCTCTTAAGAATCTATGTTAACATACCAAAAGTTGATTGTTTGAATCAACATGGATTAAGTTTTGAATTCTGGCTGTGCCAGTTACTAGTTTTGTGACCTCAGATTAAGTCAGTCAACTTTCCTAAACTTTAGTTGGGTCTCTGTATAAAATGTTGGCAGTATTTTAACACCTTTTCATACTCTTAGTATAAGTAGTAAGTAGTACTTACAGTAATCAATAAATGTTAGCTATATTATTGTTACCACATTTAAAAATAATAATCAGAATTATCTGCTTTTCTACTGGGTTATAAACTTACTGAGTCCATGACTTCTCATATGTTTTATCTCACTACCTAGCCCAAAGTCTGATTTATAGTCGTGATTCTTTGTTAAATTGAAAAAATGTATAACCAAAAGGATAACAAAATCCACCTATTCACGGGAACTTGAAAGGGAACTACAAGGAAAATGAAAAGGCTTGATGAGTGTATTCAGTCTTGTTTTGTTTTCTTTGGTTCTGCTCTCTACTGTGTTTTTGCTTTTGTCAGGCCACTTGTGTCTAAAGCAGAGAGAACATTCCTTCACTGTTTGTCTAATGCATTCAACATCAGTAAATCTAACTTTTTTGGTGAGTTAAATCATACTGGTATGTTTTCATCACTTTATTAAACTTTATTTTGTGCCAGTGGAGGACCATAAGTGGACAGCAGTGAATGAAAAAAGTTACATTATGTGGAAATATTATTTTTGGTATTCATTTCAATCCAGAGTCTGTTTCTGTTGGACATTATTTTTCACTTGTTAATTTTCCAAATCCCAAGCATAATTGTACACTATCTTCTATATTGATAAAGTTTAAAATATGAAATATTCTATATTGTTTGAATCTCTACTGTTGGGACTGATAGGCGCCTTTGTAGGTAAGTAAGGGTAGTTTTTTCCCCCTAAACATAAAGTTGTCAGCCTTCATTAAGATATGTGAGAATGTTTGTAAATATACATTGGCTGCATTTCTCAGCAGTGATGCAGACTATTTTTTAAAAATCGTATGTGTTCTGTGTAGTTTTATGTTTAAATAACTTCATAGTAGAATTTATATTCACCATTGCAGTGTACCTTTCTGAAAATCATATTTTAAAATATTTACAATTCTAATAGAAATGGATAAGAACAAATAATATTAAGGAGTAATGAACCTTAGGTAGTACTGATAAAAATACAGTAAGGCCAGTGTTTGATGATTGTGCTACTAAGATATTCTTCCCAAGATTTTGGAGAATATAATAAGGCTTATACCTAATGGATATAATTACATCCAGGGATGAAGTATATCATTTCATTACTTTTGTTAGTTTTCAAGGCTATCAGGTGTTTGTTTTAAGTAAAGTATTTTTTACCTTAATATCTCGTCCCACTTTGATAAGACTTTAAAAATTTATTGATTGATTCTTCTACTTTCTATATTGTCCTCTTTGATGTGAGTCAAATTAAAGATTATATTTTTAAAAAGGACTTTTGAAAATGGTAATATTTTATTTTAGTATTTGCTGTTATTTATGGTGAATTTCTTCATTTTTCAGTGGATGATGCTGGCAAAATAGAACAGAATGGTTCCTCTGGAGTGACCATGGACACAGAATCAGAAATCAGTTCTTTGAAAGTAGATGGCACTTGTCCTGAAGTCATTAAAGTTTACATTTTTAAAGCTGACCCTGGAGAGGATGACTTGGGTAAGAGGAAATCTCTGGTATTACATATCCTAATCAAACATGTCAACCTGATTACTTTTGGTTGGTTTAGATGAGGACATAAACATTTTTTTTAGGATAACTTTTTAAAACAGATTTTCATTATACTAACATAGAAGTGTTGGAAGAGGTAATTATTTGTTAAAGGGAAGCAGGTAAAATTAAGTTTTCACATAAGTTCTTAGGGCTGTCATCTTTCCTGCTAGGTGGCACTGTAGACATTGTGGAGAGTGAATCGGAGAATGATCGTGGGGAACTGCTTGACCAGAATAGCAGTATTCGTGTGCCGAGGGAAAAGATGGTTTATATGACTGTCAATGACTCTAAGCAAGAAGAAGATGATTTAAGTAAGTAGGTGGCCTTTTTATGGGAGACTGTTTTGTGTTTCTATATGCTTTTAATTTAAAATGCAACCATACTTGCAGAAAATAAGCAGTACTATTACAGGCATATTTCATATTCCATATGTCATATTTCAGAGAATAACAGCCATTCATAATGTATGTTTAGGATTTTACTTGAAAAGGAAATTATGGTGAAGGCAAAACAAGAAATTATTCATTCACCAAATGTATAGATTATTTACTATATGAAAAGTGTTCTGTGGGTGTAACTTTTAAAAATAATTTATCATTATTGTTGAAAGTATTACACAGATATACTTTTTTTCCACCATTGATCTCCTCCACCCCACATACGCACCCCTCAAGCCTTCACCACACTATTGTCTGTGTCCATGGGTTATGCATATAAGTTTTTTGATTAATCTCTCCCCAACCACTTTCCCACCCCTACCTTCCCACTGAGATTCATCACTCTGTTCCATGCTTTTATCTCTCTGTATTTATTTTGTTCCTCAGTCTATTTTGTTTATTAGATTCCACTTATGAGTGAGATCATGTAAAACTGAAGCAGGAAGAATAAGAAAACCTGAATAGGGTAATAACAATTGATGAAATCAAAGCAGTAATAAAAAAACTCCCAGCAAACAATATCCCTGGTCTGGATGGCTTCACAGGGGAGCTTTCTAATTCTTTAAGGTGTAGAGTTAGAGATAGTTTAATAAAATTTTTTTCTTTTCTTTTTGAGGTAGGCCTATAATGCTATGAATTTCCCTCTTAGGACTGCATTTGCTGTGTCCCATAGATTTTGGATTGTTGTGTGTTCATTTTCATTTGTGTCCAGGAAGTTTTATATTTCTTTCTTGATCTTGTTGGTAAGCCATTCATTGTATAATGACACGTTATTTAGCCTCCATGTGTTTGAATGTTTTTGAGGGCTTTTACTGTGGTTGATACTAATTTCATGCCTCTGTGATCCGAGATGCTTGATGTGATTTCAGTCTTCTTGAACTTGTAGAGACTTGTTCTGTGTCCTAACATGTGCTCTGTCTGAGAATGACCCATGTGCACTTGAGAGTAATGTATATGCTGCAGTTTTGGGGTGAGATGTTCTATAAATATGAATTAAATCCATCTGATCTAGTGTGCCATTTATAGTCTCTGTTTCTGTGTTGACTTTTTGTCTGGAAGATCTATCCAGTGAAGTCAGTGAGGTGTTAAGGTCCATGACTGTGACTGTATTGCTATTGATCTCTCCCTTACAGTCCTTAAGGTTATTTTTGATAGTTCCTTATTTATTGCCATTTTAATTCTTTATGCCTGTGTTTCTGTCTCTTCTCCTTTTTAAAAAAATATCTTTATTGATTTTAGAGAGAGGAAAGGAGAGAGAGAGGCAGAAACATCAGTGATGAAAGAGTCATTGATTGGCTGCCTCCTGCATACCCCTGACTGGGGAGTGAGCCTGCAACCCGGGCATGTGCCCGGACTGGGAATCGAACCCCAATTGCCTGGATCCTAGGTCGATGCTCAACCGCTGATCCATACCCGGCCAGGCTCTGTCTCTTCTTATTACAGCAGTCCCTTTAACATTTTTTGCATTGCTTCTGTTTCAGTTTTGAATTATAGCAGGTCCTTTAACGTTTCCTACAGTGCTGGTTTGGTGGTGATAAACTTTTTTATTCCCCCCTCCCCCTTTTTTTTTGGTCTGGGAAGCTCTTTATTTCACCATCTATTTTGAATGATAGCCTTGCTGGATAAAAAGTAGCCTTGGTTTCAGATTCTTGTTTTGCATTACCTTAAATACTTCATGCCATTCCTTTCTAGCCTGTAGAATTTCTGACCAGAAGTCACCTGACAGCCTTATGGGAGCTTCTTTGTGGGTGACAGATTGCTTTTCTCTTGCTGTGTTTAATACTATGTCTGACTTGAATTTTTGGCATTTTAATTATGATATGTCTGGGCATGGGCCTCTTTGGATTCTTCTTGCTTGAGACTCTCTGTGCCTCCTGATCCTGACTGACTTTTTCCTTGACTAGGTTAGGGAAGTTTTCTGCCATTATTTCTTCAAACAGGTTCTCTAACCCTTGCTTACTTTCTACCTCCTCTGGCACTCCTGTGATGTGAATACTGTTACATTTTATGTTATCCCATAGCTCCCTTAAACCCTTGTCCTGTTTTTTAATTGTTTTTTCTTTTTGGGTCTCTTGATTTTTTTTCTACCCTGTCTTCTAATTCACTGATCCAGTCCCCTGTTTTCTCTAATTGGCTGTTTACTCCTTCCAATATATTCTTTATTTCTGCTATGTCATTCTTAATTTCCTTCATAATTTCCGTATCTTTTTTCTTGAGCATCCTTACAATCAGTATTCTGAACTCCGTATCTGACAGATTGCTTATCTCCATTTCACGTAGCTTTTTTTTCTGGAGACTTCTCTTGTCCTTTCATTTTGTGCTTGTTTTTTTGTCTCCCCATTTTGACTGTCTATTTGGGTTTGTTTCTATGTATTAGATAGGTCTGCTAGGACTCTAATTCTTATTGGAGGGTCTCTGGTGCAGGCCAGTGAGAGACACTGTTTGTGACTGGCCTTCAGTACAGTACCCTGTTTGGAACTGTGAACACTTTATGGCTTGAGGTGTCCTCTGTGGGGCTGGGTGCATTGGACAGGACCAAGGTGCACACCAAAGTCTGCTTTTCCAAGGCCTGGGTCCAGAAGCAGATCAGGCAAAGACTCAAAGCACCCTGAGGTCTGCCTCTGCCTACAGGCTGATTAATCTGATTCTTTTAGTGAGCCTGAGCCGTAGCAACTCCACTGGGTAGAATGAGAGGTTTTTTAGCAGGATGGGACAGTTGCTTTCCCCTCAGGCAAAAGCTGCTTGCAAAGGAAATATCTGCCTGTGAAGGACGTCCTCTGCAATGTGTGGGAATGACAGCACGGGAATCCAGAGGGGTGCCCTCTGAGTTCTATATCCAGAGCCCATAACCCTAGATTCTCCTCACACAGCTCCATTCCTCTTTGCCCTCCCTCTGCTGGACCTCAGGGTGAGTGGCTGCACATGAAATTTTGTGTGTTGGCTCTTTAAGAGAGTGCCTGCCTTTCCAGCCATTTGTCTCTGGCAGAGAGAAACCCAGCTGCTTTTCATAGCCAGATATTATGTGGGCATATTTGTCAGTTCTGGTGCTCTGGCTGGGAAACCCAGCCTGGGGTTTAGACCCAGAGTTCTCAGTGGAAACCCCTCAAGCTGAGATATCCCTGGGGACCTTCAGCTGCTACCTGTGGGAGCCCAGGTAGCCCTCTGGAGCCTCTGTACTTGCTACCAGTCTCTGTGTGGTCTCCACTTTTCCCCCTTGGTTATTAGGGTGCTCTCCAGCTCATCTTCAGTTGAAGTCTATTATTCAGGATGGTTTTTCCATATTTTAGTTCTAATTCCTGTTTGGTCCTATAGAGTCAGTGTAACTTTCATTCTGTCACCATCTTTAATCTCCCGGATGTAACATTTGAATCTTTCTGTTTGTAATATTTGAATCTTTTTCTACTTATCTGTATTAACTGAAATAAAATTATAGATTGTGCCTGATCTCTTATAAACCTGATCCGAAAAGTGCTCTGTTAACTTTCTATTTAGATGTTGCAGAAATCTCTGATGAAGTTTATATGGAAGTGATTGTAGGAGAGGAAGATGCTGCTGTTGCAGCCGCTGCTGCTGCCGCAGCTGTGCATGAACAACAAATTGGTGACAATGAAATAAAAACGTTCATGCCAATAGCGTGGGCAGCAGCTTATGGTAAGTGACACAGCAGCTAAAAACACTTATGTTGCTTAAACATAAATTGTTGTTGAAAATTGTTTCTATGGGCTTAGTTTTCAAAAAGGTGAAGTACCAGTATAGTGATTTAAGGAAAAGTAGAGGAAGCTTATATATTTTACATTTTTTCCTTTAATTTTAATAGGAATTTTCTTCATGTCTATCTTTTGTGAGAGGTACATAGGCTTTCAGCCTGAAATTTTTTATCTTGATTATAGCTGGGCCCTAACTTCACAGTTCTGAGTCACAATTAGGTATGTTCAGAATGATGCTAGATTTGGAAGTTAGGTATCCAGTCTTATATATAAATATGCCCATAAAACTCACTTTAACTAGTTAGGGAATTTTGTCATTCATGAGTATCATGGCTTTTCATTCCTGTATTAATAAAGAATCCCTATTTTGTTATAATTAAAGAACACTGTATAATTTTGTTTTTTAATACACATTGTTAGGTAATAATTCTGATGGAATTGAAAACCGGAATGGCACTGCAAGTGCCCTCTTGCACATAGATGAGTCTGCTGGACTCGGCAGGCTGGCTAAACAAAAACCAAAGAAAAGGAGAAGACCTGATTCCAGGCAGTACCAAACAGGTGAGGGCACATGAGTTCCACAGCACAGTGTGCTTTGCGAACTCTCAGATGAAATTAATATGTATCCACTGAGGTGTTGTGATGGCATTTTAGATGCTAGACCACACATAGCTTTTGTGTATTGAATTGACAAATATAATTTTAAGAACTTGGTGATATTCATGAATGATTTCCTTGGATAAAAAGAAATTGTGTTTGGATCAGACATTCAGGAAAAAATTAAAATCTCAGCTTATTTTAGTGGAAATAAAAATATGTTAACTTTCAATGAATAAGTTTAAAGAATCTGTTAATGTTAGCATAAAGCAAGCATCATTTACAAGAGAGTAAGACAGATACTTTGTTTATTGGGTGTATTTCTTTCCTGTATTGTCTTGTATACTGATTTGCATATTAAAATATTCTTTATAGTTGTAGTTGAAATGTAATTTAGCCTAAATTTATGTTGGAGTAAGCAAGGTTGCAATGTTGAACTGCATTACTATGAATGATTTGCAGTAGAGATCTAAAGTTTTATAGCTTAAAATTGGTACTTTATTTATTTTGACCTAGGAGTGAGATTGGTATAGTCCTACTGAATGAAGTTTCTGAACAGATTCTCTTTATTCCTAGGTTGCTGTATCTCTTTTGTTGACTCAGTTAAGGAATGTTAATGTAATTTAGGAGTGCTTGTCCAATAATGTTTAGAATATATTTACATTCTTGAAGAAATTAAAACAGAACTTGGTTTGATTTCTCATGTGTCTTTCTTTTCCTTTCTTAGCAATAATAATTGGCCCTGATGGACACCCCTTAACTGTCTATCCTTGTATGATTTGTGGAAAAAAATTTAAGTCCAGAGGTTTTTTGAAAAGACACATGAAAAATCATCCTGAACACCTTGCCAAGAAGAAATACTGCTGTACTGACTGTGATTACACTACTAACAAGAAGATAAGTTTACACAACCACCTAGAGAGCCACAAACTGACCAGCAAGACAGAGAAGGCCATTGAATGCGATGAATGTGGGAAGCATTTCTCTCACACTGGGGCTTTGTTTACTCACAAAATGGTGCATAAGGAAAAAGGAGCCAACAAAGTGCACAAGTGTAAATTTTGTGAATATGAAACAGCTGAACAAGGGTTATTGAATCGCCACCTTTTGGCAGTCCACAGCAAGAATTTTCCTCATATTTGCGTGGAGTGCGGTAAAGGTTTCCGTCACCCATCAGAGCTCAAAAAGCACATGAGAATCCATACTGGGGAGAAGCCATATCAATGCCAGTACTGTGAATATAGGTCTGCAGACTCTTCTAACTTGAAAACGCATGTAAAAACTAAGCATAGTAAAGAGACACCATTCAAGTGTGACATTTGTCTCCTGACTTTCTCAGATACCAAAGAGGTGCAGCAACATGCTCTTATTCACCAAGAAAGCAAAACACACCAGTGTTTGCACTGCGATCACAAGAGTTCAAACTCAAGTGATTTGAAACGACACATAATTTCAGTTCACACGAAGGACTACCCTCATAAGTGTGACATGTGTGATAAAGGCTTTCACAGGCCTTCAGAACTCAAGAAACACGTGGCTGCCCACAAGGGTAAAAAAATGCACCAGTGTAGGCATTGTGACTTTAAGATTGCAGATCCATTTGTTCTAAGTCGCCATATTCTCTCAATTCACACAAAAGATCTTCCATTTAGGTGTAAGAGATGCAGAAAGGGATTTAGGCAACAGAGTGAGCTTAAAAAGCATATGAAGACACATGGTGGCAGGAAAGTGTATCAGTGTGAGTACTGTGTATATAGCACTACAGATGCCTCAGGCTTTAAACGACATGTTATTTCCATTCATACGAAAGATTACCCTCACCGTTGTGAGTATTGCAAGAAAGGGTTTCGAAGACCTTCAGAAAAGAACCAGCACATAATGCGGCATCATAAAGAAGTGGGCTTGCCCTAACGATACTTGTATAGATGTTTGTGGAGATGCTGGCCTCGAAGCAGAAAAACTCACTTAAAAGCCAGTCAGTCTCCACATACAGAACTATACACTGATTTATGGTGTGTACAAATAGTATATTGCTTCTAGTTGACTTTTTTTTTACATTTAATTCCATAGGGTGTTCTGTATCCTATTTAGTTTGTTTAATGAGAGAAAAGTAGCAACAATCAAGTTGCTTTTATTTAAATAACCCCTGATTCTGTTTTTAAGTCTTAGAATTTTTATTTATTTATTTACTTTATTCTCTTCGATGGTACTCTTCTAAGACTCCTTAAAGGTGAGAATGCATAAGATTGGTAACTCTAAAAATAAGTCATTTTTATATTTTCCCCATGAATTTTTTATATTAAATAGAAACATCTGCTAATATGAATGGGAGATACTACTGTCAAGTCTAAGATGAAAGTTATTTCCTTGTCTTAGTGTTTTCGTATCACATGACAATGAAACTCCCCTTATGAGAATTTTGGTAGGTTTGTACTTAATTTTTATTTGGTTGAGGACAAAGTATGGTTTCTTTGACTTCTTTTGTAGTGTTTACATCTTGTCAGTACAACACACTTTTAGAAAGTCTTACTAAAAAGTTTTGATTATTCCTGTTTTAGAATGGTGGCATTCTATAAATGAAACTGTGAACTGAGTTTTGAGATAAGTTGTGGTTCATAGGACTTTTGCAGTGTATGTGTAAAAATTTTATATGTGCTTCTGTGTTGCTTATTTTACATATGTATACACAATTCCAAATTTAAGTCTAGTGAATAGTATTAAACATAAAGTAAACTGATCCAGCGTTGTACGAAAGAGCATTTTGCAAACTTGCTACTATTCAGAGAGATTAAAATTCAGCTGAATCATAACTAGGGAAATAATGACACTAATATTTGTAAAGACTGAACTTATTTTTCTTTTAACTATCTTTGGTAATTGGAAAACAGAGTTAAGGAATTTCTAAATAGAATGTATTCTTAAAATTTCAGCTTCATAACTTGATTTTTGAAAGGCTAATGACTCTCCAAACAAATCTCTTGGTTCTCACTCAGAAGCCTATAAAAGAAATGTCTTTTCATTAAGTAAAGAGAACTTAGGGAGCAATGGCTTCATATACCAGAGAATGTGTACTAATTATACTTGGCTAGTTCAGCCTTCCTTTTTTTTTGTAAACAGCAGAGTTCCAAAGACTTAACATTCAGTGATAAACATGTAACATACATAATGAAATGTTAGGCTTTATTTGGAATTGCCAAATCTTTCACAGTTTTGTTTTTTGAGTTGACATCGAAAGGGTCAGTGAGTCATAAACGTAGATATAAAATTAATTCAAATAGTTAATTAGAATTTGATTTTATGAATATATGTTTTCAAAAACAGATTTTTTAGGTAACTTAAATTGGCTGTGGCACATAATAGGAGATTAGAAATTTTTATTCCTACTCATAGCTACCATGCAAATTCATTATGGTGCTTCCTTCTACTCTTGCTGAAAGGTTTTTACCTTTTGCCTTTCTATATGCCACTAATAGCCATACTCAGAAGTTATATTGGTAGGGTTAGAAATCTAAATATGTGGGGGTTTTAAGAGTCTTTGAAGGCCAGATTAACTTAGTTCTAAATCAAATACTTTAGATACGTAGTAATTTAAACCTAATTCCAACCTAAGTCACAAGAAGGATTTTGGTACCTTTTATGCCTTCTTGGCCCTCATATATGTCACCACCCATTTTTTAGTGTTCTTCCTGTTCTTGAAAACTCTTACATTTTGTTTGAGAATATAAAAAATTTCCCTTGAATTTGTTTCCCCCCGAAGTAATATAAAAGGAAGTGTTTAAATGAAAGTTTACATTAACAAATTTTAAAACAAGATAGCTATTTATATTTTTAAAATAAACTTAACAGAACACTTTACATTATTTTCTCACATAGCCTGAAGTCACACAATTGTTTTGTTTTTAACACAGTATTGAAACCTTTAAAAGGTAATTTGGTCAAGTGAATATGATAAAACATTTGTCTTTATAAAGAAAAAGTGAAATTGTACTTATTGTTATATACTGATATTAATTGCAGGCTATTTTAATTTAAAAAAAAATTTGATTAGCAAAGCTAAAGAACTGATGTTTTTGTTTAATGTTTAAAGAGGTACAGATTTTTACAAGAACATAAGTTATTTTATTGAAATAGCCTATTAAGTATTATGTCTTCTTCTGTACACATTGTAAAATACTTAAAGTAAAATATGAAATTCATATAGAAAAATGTGACACTATTGTAAATGTGTACTTGAGAATAACATGCAAAAATAAAATTAGAGTATTTTTCTGCTAATCAGTGTTTAGTGTATTTGATTGATACCAGTACTAAGTTAACACTTTTTCTTAAGGAAAAAACAACAACATGTGCAGTTTTGTTAAATCTAATAAACATAGAACAGTGGACTATTTTTGTTTTCCCATTTCTTAATTCATTTTATACAGCAATGGAATGGAAAATGCTAATTTTGATTTTGTGTCTTGGATGTAAATGTTAACCCCATGATTTTGCAAGTTATATTTAGAATAGTTAAAAGCTAATCAGCCCGGCCGGGCATGGCTCAGCGGTTAAACGTCGACCTAGGATCCAGGCGATCAGGGTTCAAGTTCCAGTCAGGGCACATGCCCAGGTTGCGGGCTGCAGCCCATCAGTGACTCTCTCATCATTGATGTTTCTGTCTCTCTCTCTCGCTCTTCTTTCTTCTCTCTGAAATCAATAAAGATATATATTTTTTTTAAAAAAAAACTCCTTAATTCAATTCTCCTTAATCAGTGTATCCTTGAAATTCATTTTTATTTTTATCTTCACTAAAGATAGGTTATTTAGTATCTATAGTTTTTGAGATAAACTTCCCATGATAAAGTTTTTTATATGTTTTTTAATCTACTGGGTTGACATTGGCTAATAACATAAAAGTTTCAGTGTACATTTATGATACATCATCTGTATATTGCATTGTGTGTCCACTATCCATAGTGTAGTCACCTTCCGTCAATCACCTTCACCCCCTTCATCCTTTCCCCAGCTTCCCTCCCTCTAGTAACCACCATACTATTGTCTATGAGTTTTTGTTTATTTTTCTGATTTGTTCATTTGTTGCTTTCAGTTTTATATACTATATGGCTTTTGTGTTTTGTTTTTTAATCGTTTCAGAGAGAGGAAGGGAGAGGGAAAGAGAGATAGAAACATTAACGATGAGAGAGTTGTCATTAATCAGCTACTTCCTGCATGCCCCCCGACTGGGGATTGAGCCCGCAACCTGGGCATGTGCCCTGACTGGGAATCGAACCACAGTCTCTTGGATCCTAGGGTGATGCTCAACCACTGAGCCACACCCCGCCAGGCTGGGTCTTTTTAAATCTGACGTATTTCACTTTGCATAGTATTCTCAAGATCCACCCGTGTTGTTGCAAATGGCAGTATTTTATCCATTTTCAATATGTATATGTACCACATCATCTTTATATAATCACCTGTTGAAGGAATATTAGGTTGTTTTCATGTCTTGGCAACCATGAATAATACTTCAGTGAACGTGGCAATGCATGTTTGTTTATGCATGTAGTGTTTTCAGATTTTTTGGGTTCATACCCAGAAGAGGGATTGCAGGGTCATAAGGTAGATAAAGTGGATTTTTCAAGCAATTAATGTTCATTTCATATACAGCACTAAGTCAGCAGTCCATGATGATTATTACTATCTCCATAGCAAAATGTCCTTTCCTAGAGTTACCTCTTTGCCCAGTTGGGAGGACTATTGTTTACACTAACATACTGTACAATGAGTTATTGTCATAGTAAAAATCAGAAGCTAGGTAAAAGTTAAGAGGAGTTGTCTTAGTTCATTTGGGCTACTATAACAGTACCATGTTCTGGCAAACATGTCTCAGTTCTGGAGCTGGAAAGTCCAAGATTAAACCATCATCAGCAGATTCATTGCCTGGTAAGGGCCCACTTTTTAGTTCATGGACTGCCTTCTTTTTGTGGAGTTGTTTCTGGGGTCTATTTTATGAGGTCTATTTTACTAGTTTCATTCATGAGGACTCCATCTCCCAGACCTAATTAAAAGGCCCACCTCCTAAAACCGTCATTTTGGGATTAGGTTTGTACATACGAATTTTAGGGGAACACAAACATTCAACCTATATTAAGATTTAAAAAGAAAAATTGAGACATTTTGATACTTATTGAGTTAAAATTTAGGAAACAAGCCCTGACCAGTGTGGTTCAGTGGTTAGAGTGTTGGCCAGCACACCGAAGGGTTGTGGGTTTGATTCCTGATCAATGGCATGTATCTGGGTTGCTGTTTTGATCCCAGCCCCATTTGGGGCTTGTGTGGGAAGCAACCAGACGATGTTGACTCATGCTGATGTTTTGCTCTCCTCCCTGTCTTTTTCTCTCCTTCCAAACCCCTCCTCCTTTTCTGTTCTCTAAAAAAGCAATGGAAAAAACATCCTCAGGTGAGGATTTCAAAAATTTAAGAAATGTAACTGTCACGATCTTTAAGTATAGTTAGTGGCATTTAGTACATTGACAGTGGTCTGTAGTAATAACCTCTGTTTAGTTCTCAAATATCTTTGATTTTAAAGGTAAAGATTCTGCAGTTCTTCACCTCTAAGAACATGTGTTTGCCTAGTTTAAGTAGTAAATAATAGAAATTTGAGTTCAATATTAAGAGAAAAATACAATTTTTTCACTTATGTGGAATCTAAAGAACAATGTAAGCAAAACAGACTTAGACACAGAAAACAGACTGATGTAGAGGAGATGGGGTCTGGATAAAAGGATTGAGAAGTATAGATTGATAATTACAGAATGGTCCCAGGGATGTAAAGTAGTACAGAATAGGGAACGTAGTACTGTAATAAATGCATGGTGCCAGATTGGTCCTGGAAATACTGGGGGGACACTGTAAATTATATAAATGTTTAAATCGTATGCTTTACACCTGAAAGTAATACAAAATAATATTGAAAGTCAACTGTAATTGAAAATTAAAACTTAAAAAAGGAGTAAGGTTAATGTTGCTGGTCGGTGAAGTTAGACAACACCACAACTGACTAATTTAGTTATAATAGAACACTGAAACACCTAGTAAGTAAAACCTAATAGGTCTGTAATTACTTAATTTACTGGTTTGTCTGGTATATTAATTTTATAATTTTCAAAAATATTTCCAACAAATTCTAAGATTTGTGTAAGGAAAATAATTATGACTAGGTTCCTGCCAACATCAGCATTGCTTGGAAACTTGTTAGAAATGCAAAATGTTGGGTGCAATCTGTACTTACTACATCAAAAATTGCGTATGACGCAGCAGTCTCTTTATTGTGGTAGGAAACACATAACACAAAATTTGCCGTCTTGTTCATTTTTAAGTGACTACTTTAGTACTGTTAAGGATATTCATACTGCTGTGAAACATCTCCATAATTTTTCATTTTGCAAATCTGAAATACCTATTAAACAACCTCCTTTGGCCCATCCCCCAGTCCTGGTAACCAGCATTGTACTTTTTCTATGAATTTGATAACTTTAGAGGAAAAGCTTTCAGTTATTCACTGAATATGATATTTATATGGGGCTTTTACATATCGCCTTTGTTATGTTGAGGTACTTTCCTTCTGTGTCTACTGTGAATTGTGAAAGGATGTAGAATATTGTGTTGTGATTTTTCTGTATCAGTTGAGGTCATCATAGTGTTGTCATTCATCCTTGATAATGTGGCATGTTACAGTGATTATTTTCTAAAGAAATCCTGTTTAATCATGGTGTATAAGTCTTTTAATAGTCTACTGAATTAGATTTGCTAATATTTTGTTAAGGATTTTTGCATCAGTATTCATCTAGTTTTCTTTGAATGTCTTTCTAGCTTTGAAGTCCGGTAATGCTGTTTCATAGAATTAGGAAGTATTCTATTTCCTGTTTTTGGAAAACTTTGAGAATGCTTAGTGTTAATTCTTCCTTAATGTTTGGGAAAATCATCTTACTCTGAGCTTCTCTTGGATGGGAGGTTTTTTGTCACTACTTAAAAATGTCTTTGCTTGTTGCAGTTATTATTGAATGTAGGATTGAAATCTATATTATTATAGAACTATTTCTTGCCTCAGTTTTATCAGTATTTTTTTAAATATATATAACTGCGTAACTTATTGAAAAAGCCTTCTATCTTCCATTTGTTTTTGGCTATTTTGTTGAAAATTATTTGCCCACATATATATGGCTTTATTTCTGGGCTCTCTGTTCTGTTCCTTGTTCTCTATGTCTGTTTTTCTGCCAATAGTGTGCTGTTTTGAGGATTGTCACTTTGTAGTATAATTTGAAGTGAGGGAGTGTGATCTTGCTG